GGATACTTCTGTGCATGTCACTTTGGTTACACTGGAAACAAGTGCAAGATAGGTAAGAATATCTTTACAATACTAAATTACTAGCTCTGCGGGTGACCTCATTAGAGTGGAATTCTAAATTCTGATTTGGAATCCCAAATTTTTAGGAAGAGCCTATAATATGGTCCATTTCCAGTCACAGGTAACTTACGCTTGTTAGATATTTGTCAATTCAAACAAATTCGTGAAAATGTGCAATTAAAGGGACCACTTTGACAATCTGAATCAGACATGAGAAATAGATCATACAATAATTTTTTTCCCAGATATTTTTAACACTACGTCATTCAGCAATAGATTCCTAAACAAGAAGAGGACATGCAGATTGCGATACTTAATTGTTAGAATGATTTTTAAGAAAATTTTTCGGTTCAAGATTTCCTAAAAGAATTCTAATTTGTATAAGGAACTCTACATATAGTATGATTTATTCTCAACAATTTTTCACTTTTTTTCTGTATCCTTACCTTTATTCCCAGGAAATAGCTGCAGCAATCTGCTTGACTCGTAAGTTGCGAATCTCTAGTAAACTGATTTAAAGCAAAAGATGAATCAGGCCTAGAAAGTGAATTCTCAACAACCTATTTCAATACTAAACTTTTAACTTACCTCCTGTCAAGTCAGGTTTAAGTTTAGTCGAGAATTATTAAATTATGCAGCACCTCGAGCATTTCTTGAACAGACCAACGATAGGGTGGGTCTAACGATTTAAGACCACAACGATGATTAGTCGAGCATATTTCATAATCACGAACCTGGATTTCGTGCTTAGTGACCTAAAAATTGAGTTCAAGAAACCAGCTTTGGAATACGAATTGTACCTGATCTATTCTGTCCTACCGATCCTTTCTTGTCTAATACTTGAAGGTTCCTGAGACTGGGAGATATGCTATATTTAGAGGAGTTTTGGAATGGTTCAACATACTGATCTTAAAAATATTGAAAGTTATAAAGTGGAGTTTTTCCCTTAGTAACATCAAGAAAATGCCTTCAACTTAACTCATAGTTGTGGAACATAATTATCCAAAGCCCACAATTGTATGCATTGATCGTTAGAACTGTTGTCGGGAATAGCAACGACCAGACGAAATTTTTCTTCAATGTTTTTGGTTAATTACCATATAACCTTCGACAACAGCCGTTCTGAAATTCTCGAAATTCACAGATAAATGGCAACTGGGCTCCTAGTGTTAACTATTCTACTCACATGCAAGTTTAATTTCTCTTGACACTTTGCCCCATGACGTTAATTTGATCAAAATTATACACTTGTAAGTAAGCTGCTATCGTTGTTCAGGTCCGAAGGTAACCGAGCTTACTCCTTGACCGTGGGATCAGTGTCGCTTCCAGTGTATTGTCACATGACCAGTCTTGGTGCATGCGGAGGTGGTGGATGGACGCTCGTTATGAAAATAAATGGCAACAAGGTACCAAGAAACTTTCAAACTTTATTAGCTCGTTCTCTCTTCAGTTGGGTCTGTAAATGTAAATACTGTTTTGCAAAGGGGCACGCAGGCGAGTATAGTGGAGTTATCGAATCGAAGAAATGTCACTTAGGAGACATTTTTGGTTTTCTGATGGATAAGTAGAACTGGTTTTAAGGAAATGTTTTGGCTGAAGTACCCTGACTTAAGCAATCTCACGCCAAGATGTGAATCAGCTTTGCATCATAAATTGTCAATGATATAGTTTGTTCTGAATCTTTTAATAAAGAAACTTGTCGATTTAAAGTTCAGCGATTAGCGTAGAGACCATTGATTAATAATTATTCGCCGAACGCGACGTGATGTTACTGGTTAATCCCTGAAACCAAGTCCAGGGGATTATTCAAAAATATTCTCTGCGCATGAGGCGAATAACTGTTTGAGTATAAATTCTCAGGCGCTTTGCAATTCTGTTATAAATACAGAAAGCACTGCATATACTTTTTCATAATTGTATCAAAAGATAAGCAAACAATATTGTAATTCGACTAGCAAAAACTTAAAAAAAAGAAAAGGTGTTTCGCCGAACTCAGTAGCATCTTATGTGCTCTTCGCATTTGAATTTTCTTCTATTGTGTATATCACTTCTTTGCGTGACATTTACAAAACGCGAGGCAGCCATTTGAAATTCAGCGCCCCTGCTAGAATCACCTCGTGCGAGGTGATTAGAGTGAGATATGACGCAATCTTCGACCAATCAGAGCGCGTGCATCTCTGTTATAACCTAAGCAATATCACAAACCTAAGCGCTTTTTTTTTAATTATTATTATTACTACAACCATTATTTTTATTATTATTTATGGGATTTTGAAACCCTTCTAGTTCTGCTAACTCTTTATATTGTGACATGCAACGATTAAGGCAGTAAACGCTTCCCTTTCACCGATAAAGGGTAAAAAAGCTGGAGAGTCCGAATATGACTGCACGCCAATCAGTCATCATTAAGGCTTGTTTCCGTTCTACACGAGAACTAGAGTCAAACATTTGAAAGGTATTATGTAACAAAACAAATACCCAATTCAAAGAATTGTTATCTAGACTGTTGCAATGAAGGATTGAATTCAAGTAAAAAAAATATCATCTAACTTCAGGGAACCTTCCATTATGATTCGAAGTACTGGAGCGACAAAAATTTCTTCAACCTTGTAGGAGGAAGGACTGGGTTTGACTCACAAGAGACCAAGTTACCGACTTATTGGAATACACCTTTCTCCAAGATCTGTCTCGGTATGAAGGTTAACCAAAAACAGCCCAACTTCATTGTCATTAACAAAAAGGCTGACTCTTTGTACTCATTGATTGCTGATGGAAAACACCGCAACACATCATTGGGTCGTGACACGTGGAAGACGCTGATAGGTTCGCAAGCTTCCTTGCAGCTTTACTGCAACATGGAGGGCTTCAATTGTGACTGCGTAAAGGCTAAAACTAGAATTGGTATCGTTGCTAACGAGTATGCAAATGCCTGCGATTATTGCGATTCAAGAATTGGTTTTGGTGGCGCAGGAGTCTATGATGTCAATAACACGTGTGGTAACGTTGCTGTTTGGTATCCTGACAATGGTGAGAGATACACCAGAGCCATGGGATACATTTTCGTTCAGTAATATTGCTATAGCATGTTGTCCGTAATGTTTAGAACAAAGCTATCAAAGAATCACTCCGGCGCGAGTCAGACTGTTTCATAATATTTTTAAAGATTTGATTTCATTGTTGTTGCCAGTTATCAACATTTATCATATTCTCCTTTCTTTTTCGCAAATAGTTATCTTTCCGCATAGGGGTACATAACTAAAAACTATTGAGGCTCCACTTATGGAGGGTTGTAGAAACTTTTAAAAGCCATCTTAACGATTTTGAATGATATTGATGTGCTAACAAGTCTCCCACTACCCCCCCCCATCCTTATTTTAACGCCAAAAATTACTCCTTTGGACTCCAATTCAAGTGAAGGTTTGTCCTGCCGTCCTCAACGAACGTTAATCCCCGCTAAAGCGGACAAAGCACTGTCCTTTGATAACGTACACGGTGTGGGCTTTTCCTCATAAAAAAGAAAAAAGAGGGGTATTTCACTTTTGTTTATAAAGTTTGAAATCACCTTATCAATAAAGTATACCTGGTAATAATAACAAAAATGTTGCACCTACATGTATGACATACAAATTTAAAAAATATTCAATTATTGTATTCAGCATAATGATATCCACTGTTTTTCTCTTTCTGTATTGTATGTTATTCAAGTTAATAAAACTTTTGAAAGTTCTATAATTAAGCTCCTTATTGTGTGAAGGCCATTTCAGTGCAAGTGCTTTCATTATAGACCTGTGAAATGCTTTGAATGGAAAACAACTCAAGACAAGATCTGCCGAGGTCTCATGTCATGGAAGGATATGAATTTAATAATACATCACCTTTATGATTTATACTCTCAAGCAAGATATGCAGAGACATAGTACATTTTCACGATATAGAGATAATCGATGTTGCTAAGGTCAGTTGTTTCCTTGTTAATACTAGTTTTATCAACTGAATTGATAATGTAAATTGGCCACCGTGAAGAGTTTAAAAGCTGATATTTCGAGCGTAAGCCCTTCGTCAGAACAAGGCCTATTTTAGAGCCAGGTGAAAGGAATTGACTGGGGTTATAAATCGAGTTAATTCCTCTCTGGTAGGGGAGGTAGCGCCGATACAGTCGTCAATGTAGCGACCTTAGATTTCAGATTTTGGGCCGTTGTATTGACTGAAAAATTGGTGTTCAACAAAACCTACGAAAAGACTGGCGTAGCTGGGCCCCATTTTTTTATCCATGGACAGGCCATTAGCTTTTTGTAATGATTGTCCCTGAGTGAGAAACAATCGAATTTGGCTAAGCTTCATGAGTTGTGCACTCGAAAAGTACTTTTAGAGCGCCTCATTCATGAAGCTCCCGCGTTACATAGGCTTCATCGCTTTTCCACTTCACCATAGCGCGGAAACAGAATTTTCTTTTTTTTTTACCAATTTTTTTTTTACTTGCACGACGGACCTCGCCGAAAAGGAGGGACTGTTCGTAGCCTACGTTTGAGGTGCTAGAATCATCCTCTTTGTCATAAAAGGGGATTTTAATTGAGCGCGGCAAAGGAATTTTTCAACGTCTTGCTTAACTAAGAATTAGTCGGTTGTTTTAGAAATGGGAACAAAATTTGAGCCCTTACGGAGAACGGATTTCTCTGAGTCGAAAAGTGGAAGATTGTCTGGGATTGTAACTACGGTTTTAAGGTTTTCTGGTAATCAGTCGCTAATAAATTACAATTTAAGAAGTCTGGTGATCCAGTGTGGGTATCAGTCTTAGGTCTGTTATCTTTGCCTCTATGCCAAATATACATACGATGGAGATCTACGAAGCAAAAATAGACGAAAGTCACGGAAAAGATTTAAAAGGAATTCTCGTAAAATGTTTGAAGCGAGCGACTTTTTAAAAAACTTATGCTTGGGCTTATGTCATTTATGAGCTCAGTTGGAAAAAATCACACGAAGCTCTTGACTATCGACTATATATATTTCTTCATTAATAAAGCCGACAAATGCATCTCCAGAGGATTATCTTTCCGTTTATTTTCACTCTTGCCAAATGCAAAGAAATCGATTTTGAGACTTGAGTATCGCTTTCAAGTAAACACCAGTTATCAATTATTAACTAACGCCAAGTAAAACGCTTTGAATAAATAAGCTGTTCCTCATGAATTGAATGAAAGCTGGCACAATTACAAAGAAGATCATGCTCAAAAGAATTAACAAGCAAGTTTCATG